ATTAATGAATTCTAATTTTCTTCTCCTATTTCATGAGCTCTCTCCACTCCTACAATTTTCTCTTTCTCTTTTCTTTTCACCATGCCTACTCCTTCTAATTATTTTCTTCTGTAATACTGACCCCCCCTCTCTCTCTCTCTCTCTCTCTCTCTTTCTCTTTCTCCTTCTCTCTATATATTCCTTCCCTATGATATTTTGCTCTATCTCATCTATCTTATTATGTGTGTATGCTAGTGTGTGTATGCTAGGGTGTTTGTATGTCTGTGTGTGGACGTGTACCTGCATCTGTCTATTTATAGTAGCTGTTAAGATGATCACAATTTCCTAATTTATATTTAATTTTTGCTGTTTTATAATTTTCTCAAATGTTTAGATATTTCTCGAACAAAGTTATACATTTTATATTGTATACCGGGGCCTTGACTACAAGCAACCTGCTTATTAAGGGTATACCTCCATGTTTATGTTTATATTGTTATTTGAATACAATGTGACAATACTATGTTATATTGGTTCTTTTTAAAGATAGAAAATAAATAAATTGAAATTGAATTGAAATTGAAGGAAGACTCTAAGAAAGCGAGAAAAGCAAGAAAACTCTTAGTTTTCTTAAAACCTTCTCTTTCTCCTCCTCCTTTATTTATTTTATTTTTATTTATTCGGTTTCAAAACATCAACACATAAAGTTCAGAAACTCATTATGGTTGATTTACAATGAAATTGAATAGTGTAAACAAAATTGAACCAAAATCTCTCTCTCTCTCTCTCTCTCTCTCTCACTCACTCTATCCCACTCTCTCTTTCAGTCTCTATGTCTCTCTGTCTCTCAGTCTCTCAGTCTCACAATGCCTCACCGAGAAGACTTCTATCCTTTCCGTGTCGCAAACTTTCTTGTTTGTGCGTGACTGTTTTCTGAATATTTGTTTTTAAGTATTAAAGTGGAGCCTTCTTTATTCAGCACTTTGCAATTTTTGTTTATCATTGTGTGGTAAGCTTACGACAACTTCTTCACATGTTTTTCTATTTTTGTCTTCTCTAATATCTAGTTTCTCTTCATCCAAAAGAAAGCCAACCAGAGACTTTACTTTATTAGGGTAATGAAAAAACTTAAGAATAGAGTAGATAGTAAGTTGATAGAACTGTTCTTTAAGTCCCTAATTCAGAGTGTCCTAACCTTCAACCTAATTTGCTATTATGCAAACGCTAAAGTTGCTGCCAAGAAACTACTCGAACGTCCCAGAAAGGCAGCAAAACGTATCACAGGAGCCGATCTAACATCCATAAAAGATCTGTATCGGAAAAATGCCTTTTCTAAAGTAAAACAAATAATGCATGACCCCTCGCACCCACTGAATGAGCACTTCAATTATAACAGATCTGGAATACGCCTGTGCACACCACGAACCCAACTTGCACGTTTCCGAAGATCCTTTATCCCCGACTCTATTCATCTTTTCAATTCCAAAGCAAAACGTGTTTGATTACTATGAACCTACCATGTAATGTATCAATATAAATGCATATGCCATGAACACTGCATCCAATTATCTACTAACGTTTGAACCAGTAACTTCAATCTATGTGTCATCAATAAACTTAAAAATTATAACGATGCCGGTATTAATTATACTACTGAAAATGGTAATCGATAATAATAATAATAATAATAATAATAATAATAATAATAATAATTTATGTATTTATTATCTTTTTAAGATTTACTATGGAATAATCAATGAATATTAAATAATTTAGCTTCATATTTTGTAAAATAGAATATTTTACCTCTATAATACCTCGATATTACCTCTATAACCACCATATATACCCTAGCTTACTGACATATTATCTCATTCATTGTTTATCATAATGTTAATGTTTATCACTGTCCTGTAATATTTCATTTATATATTTGTATTGTAATACTCTGTACCAGTGGAAAACAAATTTCCTGTAAAGGACAATAAATTATTATACTTATACTTATTTCTGTTTTTAACTGGTTTGAACCACCCCTTGGTAAACTTGGTATACTTGCCACAGAGTGAAGCAGATAGGTTCTGAAGCAATTTTACACAGAATTTGGCTAGTACGATTACAGTGGGTAGCAACATGATTCATGCCTTTTTTTAAAGGCAATCTGGCAACAACAAAATGCGCCATATATCAATCGATGGGAGGCGATAACTTCTATGTATACACATTTTTTTTTCTTTTGGCAAAGCGTTTTCTTTCGTCTATTCTATTATTTATTTATTAAAGCTTTCTCTAAAGTCAGGGTAGTCCCGCCCGTTCAAACCCGGCAGGATATCTTTAGAGATAAAGTTGAGTTCTGGTCATCCGATTGCATTGTGAAAGCGATCAGAAAAGGTTGATAATCTAGCATATACGTATTGGTGTGTACTGCAAGGTTCTGGAATCATCAAAATGATACGAAATTTTGCCCAGTCTTGGTAAAGTCACAAGCACTGGTCACAGAACGATGTGATTACAAAAACATGTGGCATAAAAATCCGTCCCGATTGTATAATGTTACATGCCATTTTTAGAATATTAAGGCATTTGAAGAGCCATGCTTTTCAGGGTAGCTTTTTTTCTCTGATGTTCTTCCACACTTGCATAATAACAATGATAACGCTCACAAATTATTTGTCACCTCTCCCCAGAACTCAACCTCCTCCTTAAGCAGCTAAACCATGGAGTTCTTTCTTCATTATAAAATACTTTACGAGAAAGAAAAATACACATACATGGAAAGTGACCTAAATTTAATTAAGTAATAATCTTGAGCGGATCAGCGCGCGAGCTAAAACTCAATTATCAATCGGTTACCATGGCAACAAATGTATCTTTACTCACCGAATAGACGATACTTGGCACACATGTTTGGCAAAGAGGTGACATCACGGTAACGATGATTGATGGAAACCAGGCAATGCACATCGCAGAGACAATGAAAGTCAAGATACGCACGCCTGAGGAAGATAAGTTTTAGATGAAATATATATTTGGTGGCACGACCAATATAGGTTCTTTTGCCTTTTGTTAAATTTGTAATCGATTTTTCAAAGCGCGTGTTTTTGTTGTTATTTTATTCTTTTACTTCTGACTTTCTATTTATTTAATTAAACAGATGGGTCAACGATGTTAAAATGCTCCAGCTAAATAGACAATAAATGAACCAACAGATCAGGAGAAACAGTTTAGTCGGGACAACTTTATAATTTCATAACAGTCATTAAAGGTACTATGTCCCTTTTGCAGCCAGTATCAAATTCTGTAGAACTTTGCAGGAATTATGAATATGTCATGTATGTCCTATCTGTGAAATTTAAACGTTAGCAGTGTCCCAATATTCAAATTATGCAAGGAAATCCGTTCACTTGCTAGACTTCACTGTCAGACACTATTGAGTGACTGACAGGTTTTTTTCTTCTTCGGTAATAACATCTATAAAATGAGCTGTAAAGGGTACATGAGCATTTGTCTTCATCAATAACCCACTTCCTATAATAGCAAAAATTAAACTGATTGAATCTTTGCGTAGCATAAAACGTACGACCATTCGGTACAATGGTCTGAAAATCAGACTATCACTTATTGGCTCTATAGCTCTTAAGTCGATTCGACAACTAATGCTCCTTATTTTACCACTTCATGACATTTTCAAGCCCCCCCCCCCCCCCTCTCCCTTTTTTTTTAGGGAAGTTCTAAATTAGTATTATCTTTCAAATGCCGTTGGAATTTAACCTTTTCATTTTTTTGGCCTGCAAATGGGACATAGTACCTTTAAAGGAAAATCCAAATTATGATAACAGAATCCTTTAGAGGAAAGCAAACTGGTGAAAGTTTGAATGAAATCGGACGAAAAATAAGAAGGTTATGAATTATTTAAAAAAATGTGTTGTCACTCTGGGCTAAGTCGGTAATGTCTCTGTGGCGGACACATTCCCGTTTGTTCCAACACACAAAATGACTGCAATAATGAATGGTAAAACCTTGATGACTCAGGAGGGTCTTTTTTCGCTTTCGCTTTATTACAATACTATATGCTATCCACTGTATATTTTAAATAGTGCCCTATGTGAGAAAAAACTTAAGAGAAAAAAACAGAAATGTATATTTATGTTTTTACACGACAAACGGGAGAGTTATACTCGACCACGTCACAATTCACTGACACGGACTGTTAACTTGACATTTAGTGATATCATATTTCAATCATTTAATTTTTTCTTTTATTATTGGTCTGATCTTTTTCTAACTTTCACCATTCTGTTTATCTTATGTTCCTGCTTTTGGACTGGGTTGGCTTGCCCTTTCAATTGCTCCTTTGACAGAAAAAGGTAGTTTTTTAAAGTATAAATTTACCATCTTACAACTTATTATCTCCGTCCCTAATAATAATAATAATAATACATTACATTTATAATGCGCTTAATACAATGTTTCTAAGCGCAAGAGAAAGAAGAAAGGATAAGGAAGGAAAGTGAGAAATACTAAAGGAACATGTTAAAAACATTGAATTACAAGTAAACGGCAAAGAAGAATATGACATTACACAAAATAAGGCCGCATCGAAATTGATTGAAATATATATTAATAAACCAGATATGGACTTATAATAAACCATATGATATATGAAAATACAACTTAAATGCAAACTATTATATACATTCAATATAAGAATTTTGCATCTTAAAATACATATCATACAACATTATGCAATAGAAATTACAATATCATTAAACTGCAAAATAAGGACTGCATCAAAATTGATTGAAATTATAAATAAACCAGATATGGAATCAGAATTATCATAAAACATGTGAAATATTCAAATACAACCTAAATACAAATTATTACATTCAATGTAATAATTATGCATCTTAAATCTTAAATACAACATTATGCAATAGAAATTACAAGATCATTAAACTGCAAGGTAGTATTAATTACGCTTAAAATAAATAACTTGGGGAGAGGGAGGGTAATGACAGTTATGGAAAGAGGTGGGTTTTCAGGAGAGACTTAAATGATTCTAATGTAGGGGCTTCTCGTATATAAATGGGGAGATTATTCCATAACTTGGGGGCAATAACTGTAAATGAGCGGTCTCCGTAGCGTGTCTTGGTGCGAGGTCCAGGTAGCAGTTGAAGGTGGGCAGTAGCATGGGAGCGTAAACGTCGAGATGCAGAAGAAGCTAATGAGGATCGGAGTGAGATGATGTTCTGTAGGTATGAGGGGGCTTGGTTGTGGATAGCTTTGTAGACAAGGAGGAGGATTTTGAAGACAATGCGTTCCTGTATCGGTAGCCAGTGAAGAGACTGGATGATTGGGGTAATGTGTTCAGATTTCTTGGTACGTGTGACTAGTCTAGCAGCAGTATTCTGGATGCGTTGAAGGGGTGCAATGTGGGATTGAGGTAGTCCGGCTAGAAGGCTATTACAATAATCGAGGTGAGATGAAACGAATGCATGGATAAGTTTTTCCGTAGCGGGATTGTCGAGATACTTTCTTTATATCTCCTGCAAATCTATAAGACTGATATAACCATTTATGTCTGCTCGCCAAAACAGTTTTGAAATTACTTCGATTGGTTGCATTTCTTACTATTCATTTCAGGTAGGAAGTATAGTCCCATGATTAAAAAATTGGAAAGCTGTGCAATACAGTAAAATGCCGGTTATGCAAGGTTGTTTATTCTGGATACAAATATGTTTATTATGGGTCAAAATATCAGGATGTATTTAAACAGTGACGATCATTAATAAAGATAGGCGGACATTTTTAAGGCAAGGGAGCCCTTTTGCAATTTATTACTGTCCTTCAATTTATAAGTTTTCTCTCCCGGAGTGTTGGCTCAGTCAGTAGAGCGCCCGCCTCACAACCGGGAGGTCATGGGTTCGATCCCCGGCCGCGTCATACCAAACGACGTTAAAAGATGGGAGTTGCTGCTGCCTTGTTTTGACGTTCAACAATAAAAGGATAGAGCAACGTCGATCTGGCGCTGCTCAGTGGCTGCCGGGCTCACGATCAATTGGACCAAAAGAGGACTAAAAGATCATTATTATTATTATTCATTCAAGCAAACTGTTCTCAACTGATTACTATCGCGATTCAATTATTTAAGTTATACAATGTCTTGATTTTTTTTTAATGAGTGAATTATTGTATATTTGTTTGGCTTCTAACCCGTTTGCACCCTGGAATGCATTTTCCAGATGAAAGATTTATCAGATACACGCCCTTCATTGGACCTATTGAAAAGTGAGTATTGAGTCTCATACCCCTATAATGCCATATAAAAACGTGTCATCTATACCTTCATGACAACATTCAGTTTTCAATTGTCAATTAAAGTCTCACATTTTGTAATGATTTTTATTTTATACGCCGAGCGAAAGCCACTAATTTTATATTATTTCATCATTATTCCATTTTGAATTTTTTCAAGTAATTACACAACGCGCCCTCGATCTTGTTCTTGGTATATCGCGTGGCAGGTCTGCGACATTGCCTTGTATCGCAACCTATGTGAAACACTATGAATGAAAAAGAAGGAAATTACGCTGGTCGTGGATTGAGTTTACCCCCCCCCCCCCTCCCCGCCCCCCCCCCCCCACTTCGGGAACAGAGGGACCGCATTCATGTTCCCAAACTGTTCGGTAAAGGGGTACTTTTCACGCAGCAAAGTCCGGCTCGTAACACACACAAAATCGGCCCGTATTGACTTTACACACACGGACTTAGGGGGTGTTTCCATAAAAAGGGAACATGCATACGCGTACCCTAAATAACACTGGGGTGGGAGATGTGGGCGGGGTTTGCCCCTTCCACCCACCCTTTAATGAAGGGTCGACACCAATAAAATGTAAATTTTTATTTTACATGATAAGAGTGGAATTCCTCACTCACAATAATATTAATAAATTTGAAACATTTATTTTCCTTTACATAACAGTTTTTTAAAGTATAAATTTACCATCTTACAACTTATTATCTCCGTCCCTGTCTTTATATCTCCTGCAAATCTATAAGACTGATATCACCATTTATGTCTGCTCGCCAAAACAGTTTTGAAATAAAGCTTATAAAGCGCTTACCATCGAAGTCTCTAAGCGCTATAACAAATAAAATACACTGATAAACAATTACATATTAAAAAGACAAGAAATTACAAATAAACCTATAAATTACAATACATATAAAATATACATCAATGTGAACAGAGTAAGTTAAACATTAACACCTTGTCAACATACCTTTCATGCTCTCTGTACCAATTTCTTTCTTTTTGTTGTCTTTGGCGTTCTCTTCCTCACCAACATCATCCTTCTTCGTAGAGACGGAAAGCGATGTCGTTCGTTCACGAGTTCCGAGGTCATTCGGTGGCTCTACAGAGGTAGTCGGCTGCATAATCCCCAATGCAAGTCTCAGCTGCTTCCGCCCCTTGTAGAATTTCTTGATGACGATGTAGATTCTGGCGCAGAGAACGGCGGTTGAAACGAACGGGATGACGAAGTAAGCGACGGGGACAATGAACCCAGCAACGACGCTTTGAAAGTACAAAGGTGCGCAGACGTCTTTGGGAAAGGGTCGCTGTTCGTTCCCGTTGATGATCTGCCAAAGAGTCGTCGTTGGCAGCCAGATGATGACGGGGATAATGTAGCCAATAGCGATGATGAGGATCGCACGGGAGCGTCGTCGCCAGTGTTGACGATGCCAAAAGGGAGCGGAGACAGCGACGCAACGATCGAGGCTGATTAAGGTGACGAGGAGCATACTGATATGAGTTAAAGCGTGATCGAGAAAGGTGAAGATGTCGCAGAAGACCTCGCCAAACGGCCATCGTCCCATGATGATGACGATGGCGAACAGGGGCATGTCGATCGCTCCAACAAGCAGGTCGGCGATGGCGAGACCCAGGATGAAATAGTTGTTGTAAGTGCGGAGTTTTGGAGTCGTACAAAACGCCGCGACGACGAGAAGATTACCGACGACGGTTATGAAGATGATTACTCCTACGATGACCGATAATATTATAACAACGTCGGGAGAGTAGGGACTCGACGGGACGATGTCATCGACGCCTTCCGTAAACGAAACCAAAGTACTCAAATTGGTCAGCCAGTTTGGAGCTCCCGTTGTACGCAGTACGCCAGACATGGTAGAATTCATTCCCTTGCTTGTAGACTAATATGATTCACACAATTAGCTGACAATATCAAGTTACTTTCGTATCTTGGCAATCTTGTTCCTTAACAGTCTATTTTTATAGCTTTTTTAGGAACAAGATTTCACTTCTGTATCTTTCACCGTTTGAGGTGCGAGACAAGATTTAAAGGGGAACAAATTACGCATGCTCAGTTCTGAATACGATTTTATTGAATATGTATGGGCCAATCTTGTGCTAAAACCTTGCGCTAAAAAAACACGATCGAGAGCAGGGCCTCGTTTCATAAAATTAAACTTGTGATCAATATTAGAGTGCGTGCTCATAGAAGTGGCTCCTACCTCTGCTCCTCCTGCAGACCAGATTCTTGTCGTTTTAAATATTTACATTTGATAAGTGCGTGCGCGAGCTCATCTAACGTACCAGAAATCAAAAACTCGTGCGTAATTCTATTGTACATATTTGAAGTGTGCGAGCCGGCGCGCACACCACTAAGACATATGAAGAAGAAAGGAAAAAAAAAACGGGCGAGGGGGGTGTTTAAAAAACAAAGATTGACTATAAGTTGGACTTAACTGTGGCAGGCTGTTCATGCCACTGTTTGCTGTCACCGTTTTAAAGATAAAGACCAGTTCTGGTCATGCGATTGCATTGTGAAAGAAACGTTGTGGAATCGATCAGAAAAAGTTGATCATCTAGCATATAAGTGTTGGTGTGTACTGCAAGGTTCTGGAATCATCAGAATGATAAGAAATTTGGCCCAGTCTTCGTAAAGTTACAAGCACTGTACACAGAAAGATGTATATGGGACTACGCACAAGTGCGCGACAGGTGCGTATTATCTATTTGGTCCCAATAGATAAACTAATTTACCAAATATATCAATTAGTAGGCGGTTTCCCGGCAAATTTTGTATCATTATGTACTAGTCAAAACATATTATTTCACATGATTGGTAATAAGAGCTTCCATTTCATTTTTTGAGAGGGGGGCGTTTACCTTTAAATACTCGAAATCGTTTCTCAAGGGACGTACACATCATGGTCACACATCTATTGCATTAAGCTTTTTTTGATAATTCATTATTGAAGGAAAAATTATTATCTAAAGATCATAATTGAGAGACCAATGGTGAGAGCAACCAGTGGCATGAATGGCCTGTCATATTTAGGTCCAACTTAAAGTCGGAATTAGTCTTTGTGAAACACTCCCCAGGACTACCCTCTGTGACTGTATTATGTTATGATTCTCATGTATTTCATGTATTTGTATTGTATTTAAATCTCCCATCTTTTGTAATATATTTTATTGTGTTCACATATTTGTGGCTTACACCCAGTAAATATGATCGATCTGTGATTGAAAAAACAAGTCAGAAAAAATCTTGGAACCAGCGGCAATTGCAATTTCTCCCAGGAAGCATTACATTTATAAATATATTTTATGTTGTCAATTTTAAAATAAGTTGTTAGATATTTGTGCACTGTACCAGTTATAGGAAGGAGGGCATCGGGGCCATGATTATTTAGTGGAGCTTAACCTTTCCAGGCCGCTCGCCCCGGAACACCAGTGTCTATGAAAGTGCTGCCATATTTTGTTCAATCAATTGTATGTTTTTTCTTCTTCTATGTATTAAAAACGCCGTATAAATACATGAATAAATGAATAAATAATAGATAAATAAAATAATAATGATAACAAGTTACAATAACTGTTACAAGTTGGTAATATCGAAACATTTCATTTGCTGTGAGCAAATTTTTTGTATGAATGTGACACTTGTTAATATTGATTTTAACAAAAGTTTTATGATACAGGGCCCAGAAGAATCTAAAGATCCTAATGAAAGCTGTTGCAAATTACATACATTCAATATTCAACCCATTTTATATCCTCTAAAATAAGATGATTTGGATCCCCATTATCGGAGTCGTCATCATCACCACCACCATCACCGTCATCATCACTACCACTACTACGATTATTATCACCATTATCATCATTATCACCATCATTATCACTACTACCACCATCAACAATCACCACCAAAATGATCATCATCACCACCATAATCATCATAACTACCGCCACCACCATCTTCAATACCACAACTACCACAAACCGTTATCCTCCTCATCATCACTACCACCATCACCGTCATCATCACTACCACTACTACGATTATTCATTATCACCATCATCATCACTACTACCACCATCACCAATCACCACCAACATTATCATCATCACCACCATAATCATCATTACTACCGCCATCATCATCTTCAATACCACAACTACCACAAATCGTTATCCTCGTCATCATCACTACCACCATCACCGTCATCATCACTACCACTACTACGATTATTCATTATCACCATCATCACTACTACCACCATCACCAATCACCACCAACATTATCATCATCACCACCATAATGATCAGAACTACCGCCATCATCATCTTCAATACCACAACTACCACAAATCGTTATCCTCATCATCACATCCACCATCACCGGTCAATCAATGACCTTGTGTTTTAACAGCATTATTCTCTCTTAGGTTATCAACGCCCAATAATTTATTAATAATTTTTTTTTTACAAAAGCAAGTGGAATATTAAAAGCTCGAGTTCTTTCAATACTATTTCAAAATATTCGGTTCTTCTTAATCGTGTACCTTTGGAAGCCAACTAAAACCTAGTTTGGAGGAAAAACAATGGGTTGAAAAAAAAAACTAGTATGGCAATCAAATGATGTGATCTTGTTCATACTCAATAGGACAATTGAACTGATGAAAGTTTTACTAGTCTTACCTGAAATAGGCAGCGTTTTTCAACCCTTTCTTAGTCTCGGCACCCTTTTAAGTCGAGCACGGTTCAACGAATCGTCTACTTTCTCTAATAATTTAATGAAACGCCAAAACTTCCGCGCTTTGCGCGGGAGGGGGAGAACTGAATTCAGAAAAAGATTAAGAGTCGAGAACAGTACACCGAATCGTCTGCTTTTTCTCATAATTTAATGAAACGTCAAAGTTTCCGCGCTTTGCGCGGTAGGGGGAGAAACTGAATTCAGACAAGGATTAACAGTCGAGAACGGTATAGCAAATCGTCTTCTTTTTATAATAATTTAATGAAACGTCAAAGCTTTAGCATCTTGATTTTTGCATAAAACATCTATTACAAAATAATATACTACATTCAGCGTGTTCCCACATAAAACATCGACACGGTATTACCCGTGTAATACCGTGTCATACCGTGTCAGTTTTCCTGTGAAAACACAAGCGTGTCGACCTGTGTCGACCGAGAAACGGATTATCAGATCCACCTCTAGGTGGATCTTGGCGTGTCGATCCCAACGAACTCCCTGTGAAATCGCTGTGGAAACACACAGCGACAAACCGTGTCCGCCGGATCATCAGAGCGCGCGAAGCCCCAATCACCACTGCAGCGTGATTGGTTGTAAAATACTTTGAAATACGCGTATACAGGAGGAACGTTTAGTGTGGATAATTTCAGGCCCATTTCAATACTGCCCTCTTTGTCAAAAATTCTAGAGAAAGCCGCACATAAACAATTGTATTCTTACCTTAACCAAAATAATCTATTATCAGAACGTCAGTCTGGATTTAGACCGCTTCATTCCACAACCACATGTCTCACAGAAATTACTGATTACCTTCGTGATAATATGAACTCAGGTCAGATTACTGGAACAATATTTTACGATCTTAGGAAAGCGTTTGACGTTATTCCACATAAAATAATACTTGATAAACTAATTTTTTATGGCATTAGTAACAAGGTGTATGAATGGTTTAAATCTTACTTAATTGGTAGACAACATTGTGTTACTATAGATAATCATTGTAGCCAGTATTTAACTGTTAAATCCGGGGTGCCACAAGGGTCAATTCTGGGCCCCTTGATTTTTTTTGTGTACATTAATGATATCAATAATTTAACATTTCATAATAATTTCAAAATATCACTTTATGCTGAGGATACTGTCATTTTTAATAATTATAATATTTTTTCTGAAGTTCAAGAAAAATTGCAGAATGACTTTGATTTAATATGTAAACGGTTTGATATAAATAAGATGTATATACACCCTAAGAAAATTATGGTGATGTCCTTTGGATCAAAAAGAAAGTTGGAGAACAATCGTTTCTCAATTAAATTAAATGGTAAAAATTTACAGTGTGTCGAAACAATGAAATACCTAGGAGTTAAACTTGATTCACAACTTACATGTTCTGAACATAAAAAAATATATAAGTACTAAGATATCTCGTTCTATTGGATGTATTCGTATCCGCTATTCCTTAAAGTAGATATTCATTGATTTAAAAAACTAACTTTATTTTCATTATTGCAAAGTTGAAACTTTGATTCGACAAGGTTATCAAAATTTAATACTTGGAAACATTCGAAGTAGTGATTATTATAAATTATAAAACGCTTAAATACAGCCCCGGCATAGCACCTGAAGAGCTCTCCGAACGCTGCTGAGATGTGTGAGATCACAGTATGGACATGACTTGCACAAGCAGACGATGTCCCATGACATCTCACATATTTTCAGTGCCTGTGTTTTCATCTTCTCTTGAGTTCTTTCTCTTACTTCACTACCGTCAGGCTAAATGTATAATCTTTTGCCTCACTCTAAACCCCGCGCATGGTTTTATTTTGATGACAAATGCAGCGATACAAAAATAAAGGAATCTGTCGCTTGTAAACAAAATAAGACGTCATTGTATATTCAGCTGCACACACCGGATATGTTCGGCGTAAAAGGGAACAAATGCCGTCCTTAATATCATTCCGGGGGGTTTTCAATTAAAAGTCTGGTTTCTTTGATTGTTAATTAACCCCTATCCTGTGCATTTACAAGCAAAGGATTCCAGTTATTAGAATCGGGTCATATCCCCTTTTAAATGGTTTAATATGCCATTACATTTATGTACATTAAACTCATTATAAT